TTTTTTTTTTTTTTTATTGATGTCACAGAGGAAGGGAGAGGGAAAGAGAGATAGAAACATCAATGATGAGAGAGAATCATTGATTGGCTGCCTCCTGCATGCCCCCCACTGGGGATCGAGCCCGCAACCTGGGCATATGCCCTGACAAGGAATCGAACCGGCGGCCTCCTGGTTCCTGGGTCAACGCTCAACTGCTGAGCCACACCCGGCCGGGAAAAATTTACTATTGATAAAACTAATTTAATTTCTTCTTTAGCTCCCAAAGAGAAGACCAGCCTTCACAAAAGTAACCCTGGTTTTCCCAAGGCACTCTTACCCTCATTGCTGATACTTCTGCTATTATTGGCAATCTCATTTTTTATCGCTTTTATCAGTAAGTATCCCAATGAAACTATAATGAATGTCTGCCTTACACAAACAGAGGGTATCCATTAGATTTTTATATTTAACAAGGGGTTTATTCAGAAATCTGGTAAAATGTGTTCTCTGAGGGATGGTATAATTAGTGGGAATCTATTACAAATGCTGCTTTTAAATTTGAATTGAGTCACTTTTCTATAAAAATAATGGAATTCACTCTATAGACTCTATAGAAATTTAAGAGTATATGTGTGCCTGTGTGTTTGTGTTATAGAGTGAAATAGGGTACCATCTTCACACTAGACAGTTGTATGAGGACAAATTTATATTTCCTTAGTGTTTCTAAGGCCAGGACTTTTTGAGTGCACACATACATATTTTGAGATGAGCAGGTGAACAAGGATATGGGAAGAAATATTCAGGAAGAGTTTCCCATTGAATTTTTACCTTAATTATTTCTGTCCTACCCAAGACATGAGATCTAAAAGGCAACTTGGCAAACAGATAGATTTCTGCATATCTTAGGCTTTAAGAATTTATCAAATTGATAAGAGGAATAAAAACCAGTATATATCTGGGTAGATATTTTATTCATTCATCTGGTCATTCAATAAGCAATGATGGTCATCTGCTTTATGTCAGACAGTGTGCCAAAGTCCAAGCCATAGTCATTGAAGTTCAGAAAGTGATAGTAACTGGTCACATGAACCAGTGGTTACAACATTGTATGGTAGTGTTGTACAGATAAAAGCAATGGAGGCTGAGATAGACTTCCTGAAGGAGGTGGCATAGAAATGTGAGAGAACATGGGGAAATGTGAGGAAACCTAAGAATAAATGATTGGAACATATGGCGCTAAGTGAACTGTGAGAAATGAAGTTGTAGGTTGAAGAAGTGGGGCTCAGATCATGAGGAGTGTTGTGTACAATCCTAAAGAGGGTGAATTTTCCCCCTGAAGATGATTGTATCAATTATCTTTGGCTGTTTAATAAACCAATCTAAAACTTAGTGGATGAAAACAACAGCTACTTATTTAGCTCATGATTTTGTGATTTGGCAGTCTGGACTGGGCTCATTGGTCCTGGCTGAAAGTGGGGAGAGAACTAGGGTCAAGTATTGCAGGAGGTCAAAGAGAAAGAAAACTAAGAAGGAACCCTGGGATATTACTGATAACCATTGCAAGGGTGGCAGCCATCTTGTAGCAGCCATCTTGTGATGACGTGAGGGTGTTGCACGAAGGCATGAGGCCCACCTAAGTTTTTATTAGTATAGATTGAATATGGGTGATAGGAAATCTTTCCCATAATCAGGATCTTTCTACTCAAGTAACTGGGCATTGGTAGATGTTGTTTCTATAAAGCATTCAAGAAAGTAATAATAATAAGCAAATTCATAACACTGTCAGGAAAATGAATGATTTTATTCTCTGTTTCAGTTTTTTTTCAAAAGTATTCTCAGCTTCTTAAAGAAAAAAAGGCTATAAAAGAAGTTACTCACACAGCATTGGAATGTATGAAAGAAAATTTGACCATGGAAGGTAAAAATTAATGTGTCTATAATTTAGTTGTTGACTATACTGTGTAAATATCCCCAATCAATATTTCTGAAAAGACTTACAAGTATATCGCACCAAGAGGCTGAGTCTCATGATCATTTCAAGCTTTAGGTATATAAATATATAGGATATGAAATTCATATATGAATATCTTTAATATAGTTGTATAAGAAAATAGTCTTTTAAAAAATGTTTTTATTGATTTCAGAGAGGAAGGGAGAGGGAGATAAAAACATCAATGATGATAGAGAATTATACATTGGCTGCCTCCTGCATGCCCTCTACTGGGGATCAAGCCTGCAACACCAGGCTGGTGTTGTGCCCTGACTGGGAATTGAACCATGACCTCTAGTTCATGGGTCTACACTCAACCACTGAGCTACACTGACCAAACAAGAAAATAGTCTTAAATGTTTTTTTTTTTTAATTTTCAAGTACAGTTTACATTCAATATTATTCTCTATTAGTTTCAGGTGTACAACATAGTGGTGAGACAATCGTGTACTTTACAGAGTGTCCCCCCCACCTCCCGATATTTCAAGTACCTACCTGGCCCCATATTTCTACCAACAACCCCTTCAAGGCAATGTACACTTTTTCTAGCACGCACCTCAAAAGTCTTCTAGTGTCTACCCACCACCTAGTTTTAAAGCAAGATGTAGCTAAGGTATTAGAAGAACCTACGAGAGGTTATTTTGCGGGGGATGGGGCGGTCTGGAAATACTAGAAAATTTTTCTACATAAATTAATAATAATTACTTTACTTTTGGATAGTGGGAAAAACCTGTATTACAAACTGGGTGGTTTAAACAACAGACATTTACCTGTATTACAAACTGGGTGGTTTAAACAACAGACATTTATTTTTTTGCAGTTCTAGAGCCTCTCTCTCTGGTTTACAGATGGCCACCTTCTCTGTGCATGTAGAGATAGAACTTCAGAGAGAGAGAGAGAGAGAGAGAGAGAGAGAGAGAGAGAAAGAGAGAGAGAGAGAGAGAGAGAGAGAGAGAGAGAGAGAGAAACTGATTATATATATATATATCTGGTGTCTCCTCTTCTTATAAAAACACTAGTTCTATTGGATTAGGATTTCACCATTTGACCTTATTTAATCTTAATTATCTTCTTAAAGTCCCGACTACATTGGAGATTAGGGCTTCAACATATGAATTTTTGGGGAACACAATTTAGTCCATAACATTCTACCCCAAATTCATATCCCTCTTGCATAAGAAATATATTCACTCTGTCCCAACAGGCCCCAACGTTTTAACCCATCCAGTATCAATTCAAAGTCCAAAGTCTCATTTGAGTGTTATCTAAATCAGGTATAGGTGAGACTCAAAGTATGATTCATCCCGAGACAAGATTCCTCTCCAATTGTGAACCTATAAAACCAGATGAGTTATGTGCTTCCAAAATTCAGTGGGACAGCCATAGCATAGACATTCCCTTTCCAAAATGGAGAAATCAGAAAGAAGAGAGGATAAATGTGTTTCAAGCAAGTTCAAAACCAAGTAAGAAAAAGGGCCATTGTATCTTTTTAAAATTTTATTTTTCATTACAGTTTACATTAAACATTATTTTGTATTAGCTTTATGTGTATAGTATAGTGGTTAGACAATCATATACTTTACAAAGTGTTCCCCCTGGTATTTCAAGTACCCAGCTGGCACCATACATAGTTATTACAAAATTGTTGACTATATTTCCTTTGCTGTACTTTACATCCACGGGACTATGTTATAACTTCCCATTTGTATTTCTTAATCCCTTTACCTATTTCACTGCTCCCCTCCCCAGTGTTTTGTTTAGAGTCCACACATATAAGTGATATCATATATGCACCACTATGTTCATTACAGCATTGTTTACAATAGCCAAGGTGTAAAAGCAATCCATATGCCCATCAATAGACAAGTGGATAAAAAAGTTGGGGTTCATGTATAGAATAGAATTGTATACTTGGCCCTAAAAAATAATGAAATCTTACCATTTTCGACAGCACGGATGGACCTAGAGATTGTTATGCTAAGTGAAATAAGCCAGACAGAGAAAGACAAATATTGTATCTTAAGGTTGGAGAATAATCTCCTTTGGCTTGATGCTTGGGCCAACTTGAATGACAGTGTCACCCGCATGGTCCTACATGGTGGCTCTGTCCTGTGGATTGTGGGGATGCCTTGCCCCTGAGGCACTGGGCAGTTGTATTCTGGCCCACTGAAGCCAAGAAGATTGGCCCACTGAAGCCGAGAAGATTGCCCCACTTTCCGAAACCAAGGAGGAAATTGCCTTGCTCCCTTGGCCTGTGGGTTGGAGTAGCAATCCTGATGATCTCCAAGTCATCCTTGGGTCATTCTTCCCTTTTCTTGAAATATAACACATGTTAATTAAAGTCAGTAGCTCTATTGTCTCGTGCTGTAGAACAACAGAAGTCCAATAGCTTTATTCATTCTGTCCCATTTTCTCAGTTCCCATTAGTCCCAGCTGGCAATATATATATTTTTTCTGGTTTCAGTGCATTCTTTCTTTTTATAAAAACAACAACACCTTTATTGTTTAAAGTATTACATTTGTCTTCTTTTTCCTCCATTGACCTTTCCTCCACTGTTCCCACCTCCCAGCACATGCCCTCATCCCCGTACTGTCTGTGTCCATGGGTTATGCTTATATACATGCATATAAATCCTTTGGTTGATCTTTTAACACCCCCCTCCCACCTTCCCTCTGAGGTTGGTCGGCCTGTTTGATTCTTCTATGTCTCTGGATCTATTTTTGTTCATCAGTTTATGTAGTTCATTATATTCCACAAATGAGTGAGATCATATGATATTTATCTATCTCCAACTGGCTTATTTCGCTTAGCATAATGCTCTCCAGTTCCATCCATGCTGTTGCAAGTGGTAAGAGTTCTTTCTTTTTTACAGCAGCATAGAATTCCATTGTGTAGATGTACCACAGGTTTATAATCCACTCATCTGCTGATGGGCACTTAGGCTGTTTCCAAATCTTAGCTATTGTAAATTGTGCTGCTATGAACATAGGGGTGCATATATCCTTTCTGGTTGGTATTTCTGATTTCTTGGGATATATTCCTAGAAGTGGGATCACTGGGTCAAATGGAAGTTCCACTTTTAAATTTTTGAGGAAACTCCATACTGGTTTCCACATTGGCTATACCAGTCTGCATTCCTACCAGCAATGCACGAGGGTTCCTTTTTCTCCACATCCTCACCAACTGGCAATATTTTTGCTGGTATAATCTTATTTCAATTCCTTACTTCAGCTGAAATGGCTGATTAAATCCATTGGGAATTTTTTTTTACATTTTGTTCTTTCTTTATTAAGGTATTACATCTGTGTCCTCATCCCCCCATTACCCCCTTCTTCCCACTCATGCCCTCAACCCCTGGTGTCTGTGTCCATTGATTATGCTTATATGCATGCATACAAGTCCTTTGGTTGATCTATCAGGGAATTTCTTTATGAAGTAAATGTCTAGCTACATCCTTGATGTTCTCTCCAGAACATGCTTTCTCATCTTTTACGATATAGACAGGGTAAGAATTTTCCAGATCTTCAAGTTCTGGTTCTTTTTTGTATAACCCTTTTTTCAATTTATCTCTTTCATCTTGCATTTTACTATAAGCAGTAAGGATAAACCAGGTTGTATCTTTAATGCTTTGTTTAGAAATCTGCTCTGCTAAATATCCAAGCTTTTCACTCACAAATTTTACTTCCCCAAAATATTAGAACACAATTCAGCAAATTCTTTGCCATTCTTTTTTAAAAATATTTTTTTATTGATTTTAGAGAGGAAGGGAGAGGGAGAGAGATATAGAAACATCAATGATGAGAGAGAATCATTGATCTGCTGCCTCCTGCACGCCCCACACTAGGGATTGAGCTCACCACATGGGCAGGTGCCCTGATCAAGAATCTGTGACCTCCTGATTCATAGGTCAACGCTCAACCACTGAGCCACACGGCTGGGTTCTTTCCCATTCTTGAACAAGAATAGCCTTTCTACCCTGGACAGGTGGCTTAGCGTCCTCCCATACACCAAAAGGTTGTGGGTTCGATTCTCAGTCAGGGCACATACCTAGTTCGTGGCT